GATTCACATAAAACACAATGAAAACATTGTAATCAGATTCTCTGATTTTTTTATACCATTTTAAATCTTTAAGGCATTATAAAAGAAAATAAGTGGTTCCACTTTTCCTGTGAGAGTCATTATCATGATTTAACAAATGCATAAACATTCTTAGTTAAACAACAAATGAATCACGGACAGAAGAGATTGTTCTGTCTATTATCTGATTAAGAGAACTGAGGGGTTCCCTTCCACGGTTGGAATGACCTGTCATGGCCTAAATAGAGTTCCGTTTGTGACAGGGTTCCTGTCCTCTCGTCAGGCCTGTCCGAGGCCTGCTTTGAGGCAGTAAATCTTGTTTCTTCACTCGAGGTGACCCATACACTGGTGTTCAACATCTAAGCTTAATATTTACTGTCTATTTAAGTGCTGAATTGATGAACAATTAAGTTCGGACACGATCTGGATTGTTATTGATCCTTAAAACTTTTATAGGAAATTGATTGCTCACAATTAAGTGTACTGTAGTGATTTTGTTTGATTATGTAAATAAATAGTCACATTTATGGATGGATATATYGAAACTCACTGACTAAAGTCACTCATTGTTTTTGTCATTCACTTCTACATGAAGGTAATATTTACCAAAAATAAAATGATCCTTGCTAAAATACTTTCCTTATAATGTGTTATAAGAGGTGTAGGGCAAATCCTACACCTTTATGTAGATTTATATTTTTATTTTGTAACCATGTATGTATGTAATGTATGTATGTGTATACACATATGTACACACATGTATATTTAATGTGTGGGTATGTATAGGGACAGTATACTGAGAGTCATTGAATAGGCAAGTATAAGCCTTGGCTTCAGCCTACTCCGTCTTTGGTAAATTATTGATTTGTATCTGTAAAATTGTTTCATTTTATTTTCTTTTTCTTGTAGTGTAAATTTACCAAAATAAATCTAAATCCAATCCAATCCAATCCAAAGCAGAGAATGAGAGTTGGTGTTTCTTATCAATATGTTCTGTCTGCATAAACCAAAGTTGGTTACGGTAACGTCTGACACTGAAGATTACCACCATCAGGGGCATAGAAAGGAAGAGACATGATGCTAAAAGGTGGATGGATGGATGGATGGATGATGGATGGATTTCCAGTCAAAAGTTGARGCACAAATATTTGCAAGAAAAAAAAAACTGAATTGTCAACATTTTTTCACAGTAATTTAATTTAATTTAAAAGGGATGGATAGGTGATGTTTTTCTTTACAACAATAATTCAGTGAGTACAGTGTGAGAAATCTGTCATCTAAGAAGTCCATCTTGTTTTATTTAATGCACCCTTATAAATAATCTTGCATGGTCATCAGTTTTGTTTGGAAATTAAAAAAAAAAAAAAAACTCCCGTCAAAATAATTCATTAATGAGCAAATAATTAATGGAGAGTTGCTTGAGAGTGTTTGTTGAAGCCAGCATAAAAAAACTGAGCTGATTATTCCATCTGGAAAAGCTGTGTTTTGAAACCACACCAGTTAGAGAAGTGTGATACAACAGGTTCATGATTTTTATGTGTGAAAAAAAAAGGAATGGTGTGAAGTGACACTGCTTTAGATGGAATTGAAATGGAAAGGTCTTAATTTGAGCTGTTAACCAGAACAAATGGAACTTCACATGCTCTGACAAGCAGATTTGTACTTTCCTTCACATAGTTAAGTAAAAGACAACTGCTTTAACTGCCTGTGGGGGTTTGTGTGACAGTCCTGCTCATGCACAACCTTTCTTGTTTGCTTTATGAAAAAAAAATAAAGATCAAAATTTAAATATTTTACTAAAGTCCAGCTGAAATTATATGTGCCCATTGTAATAACCAATATATTACCTTTTTAAGTGGATTTACAACCAGCAAATGTGGTGTTGTTGTTGTATGCACCAAGACCATTAAAAAAACATGGAATAGTTAATACATAATGTTACCTGGAGGTGATGAGCTGAACTGAAGGGAAGACAAAGATGTCCATGATTGCTGAGGATCTGAAGCACAAATAGAGGAAGCAAAAACATCAACCCAATTTTCTGAGAAATTATAGTAGAACATTTATTATTTGGAGCACATTTCCGTCTTTCATTAGTCGTATAATTTATTAGATTACWGGCAGAAGTGAAAAGAGACAAGAAGAGACAGTGCAAGTACAAAGGACATGTGCTGAACATGGACACTAACAGCAGCTCACCACATCCTCCAAGTGCCTGAAGTCCTGCTAAACCAGACGTACAGACAAAACACCAAAAGCGAGAAAAAAAGATACAAGTGAGAAAACAGGTGAATAGGCTGGGTGAAAGATACAGAAGTACACTTTAACAAACTGCAATTACAGAGAAACACTAAGCAAAAACAAATCTTGCATTCCAAAGATAGACATTTTAATTACTGCATCATCAACAATCAAATAAAAAGCTATGAAGTAATTAAAAAGATATTTTCTAAAATGAGTAAAATAAACTACAGACTTGTGGCATGTGAATGAGCACAAACAGTAGATAATACAACAGTATTATATAAAAAATATTGCAAATGTATTCAACGGTGTCATTATTGTACTTATTTCTTATTTAGTCCTGATTAATCCTCTGATATTACATCCCAGAAGTTGGGTTCTTCTCCCTTAATTCAAATTTCACACAAATTGGAAACATAAAATGTAAAATGAACAAATAATGTTGACAATGAGGTGGACACTGTATTGGGCCAAAAGTAATATAAAGAAAGAATAAAAAGATAAAAAAGAAATATCAAACAAAACTGAACTTCATTAAGCAATCATCATATGATACAGCTAAGCTTAGCTACATCAGACAAATCAGTCAGACAAGTGATGATGCAGGTCACATGTCTGCTCAGTAGTCTGCCAGAAATGCTCGGATAGAACACATTCCAAGCTAAATCATCTTTAATTGATGTTTTCTCGCAACAATAAAAAAAAATAAAAGCAAAGCTAAATGCAAGACTGAGCCAAGATATTTGCAAAATCTGYACTTAGGCCTAATTTCAGCTTCATCTACAATAAAGGATTAATCATCCATGAGCTAGTGTGTCCAATCCTGGTCCTTGAGGGACACTRTCATGCAGATTTGTCTTGTTTCTTGGCTGTAACACACTTGATTTGAATGAATGGGTGATTGCCAAACTTAGGCAGAAYTTGAAGACGATGCAATCACTGACTCAGGTGTGTTGAAGCAGGAAAATGGGTAAAATATGCAGCATAGCCGCCCTTGTACACMATGCTTGGAAATCCCTTGCCTCAAGACTTCTTTTAAACCTCCAATATGATCAATTAGATGTTAAAACATAAAAAAATAAACAAGTAAATAAATAAATAAACCTTTAAAAATCTGAGAAAAACAAGCTTGGCTGAGTGACAACTGAATAAAGTYATTCCAACTGATACATGATATTTGTTGTATTTAATAAAATGCATTAAAGTTAAAAGCAGCATGCTGTGGAGGGTAGATGTGCAGTCTGTCCCCTCTATAATCAGATTCACGTTAAATTAGAGACACTGATTCACTATGAACATGGAGTGAGCTGACATGCATGTATATCTGCACAAAGAGAAAAACGGTAAATCCTGCCAGTGTTAGGAAAACTGAGTGCAAAGCAAAACCATTTGCACAGCTAGACCATCTGCAGATTTTTTATGGTAGCGACTGAAAAGAAAAAAGGTCATATATCTCGGCAGTACAAAAAGAGCCATCCAATTAGATGTTACATGCTATGGATGTGCTAAAAGTGTTCATATGTATCTTGTTCAAAACAGAGAGTCCCTTCTATTATCTTGTTTTATTCATCTTTGAATGTACTCTCCATTAATGGCTCTCATGCAGCACTGAGAATAATGAAGGTGAATAGTTTAGTTGGTTCAAATGAATCTTTAAAAGAGGAAAACATCTTCAAAACATGAGGAGAGCATCACTGTCTGTCCATCCATCCATCCATCCATCCATCCATCCATCCATCCATCCATCCATCCATCCATCCATCCATCCATCCATCCATCCATCCATCCATCCATCCATCCATCCATCCATCCATCCATCCATCCATCCATCCAAATTTTGATTGAACATATTACAATGTCATCAGACATAGAAAAAATATATTCTTAATTGAACTATCAATGGTAGTTCACCAATTATCAATGGTAGTTTAATAGGTCAATGTGTATAGTATATTCAATGGTAATGAACCCAAACAGACTGTAACTTGCTCTCATTGAAATCATTTGGCACATAGTGAAAGGGCAGCTCAAAGAAAAGGCAGGACAACTTGAACTATAAATTATGTTTAAAAAAGGGAAAGCATTTCATTTGATTTTAATAACCAAAATATCTGTACTTTGTCACATTTTATACAAAGCTCAGCATTTTGCATAACTGAATTGTTCTATTTAAGATAGGCAAGACTTTTGTTTTTTTATAAGACTATAATAGCATACGATGGTAAGATGGGTCATTTTATTCTCTATAGTCACTTTATCTTTTTTAAGGGTCACTGGCAAACTGGAACACATCCCAGTTACTACAAGAAAATGTTAACCTAACCTGGTTTTCAACACATTAAATGCCCAACACAGCAGGACAACAATGCCTCCTAAGACTTATACACACTTTTTTTTCTAACATACATATCTGCAGACTGGAGGAGATAAAAGCACCAAGGTGAGTGGAGTGCCTCTACAGAAAAGTCAGAAAAAAGATGGATAGGTGATGGGCTGATTATTAGAAGTATAAGTAAAAACAGTAGAACAGAATCAAAGAATTGATTGTTTGAATTTGTCCAAAAATGTTCAACTAATCTATTCAGCAATTCAGATTTTTCATAATGGACCAAATAGAAAACCAACAGACTAATATTTCAAGTTGATGAATGTAGAACCTGTTTCAGCCATTCCTTTATCTTTAATTGATCTTTTTTAAGCTTAAATAATTTTAAAACAACCTGACAGAAGCCGAAACAGAGCAGATAGCAGAAGACAGAATTATTTACTACTGAACACGGAATACTTAGTTATAACACTGTCGACATTTTATTTAACTAATTTAGCAGAGCTGAACATTGGATGGAACATTGTAAATTAAACWGATTCAGTATCATCAAAACAATCTCACTCTTTTTTATTTCTATAGCATGAATATTTTGATTTTTTTTCTTTTAATTATTTGATGGATAATATTGTCATCAAAACATCAATATTTAATTATTTATGAAAGTTATACAAATACATGTTTTGCTAGTTCTTTGATAACACAATGATGTTTCACTATGGGCAATACTCCTGCATGACCATCTACAGAAGYTGCAATATTACGTCTGACTGAGACAGGTTGAGCCGTGCTTAGGGCTCTGCCCCATCATAATACTATGGTCAACCGACAACTCCAACTCATTATAGGATGCTTCCTTTCCATGTCCATGCAAGAAGGGATRTGTTGGTGAAACACCTGACTCTGTTAACAAAAAACTAGGGTTGCATTAAGTAAYCAAAAGTTATTTTTCTAACTTTGTTTGATGTTTCACTTTGGGAGATATAGCCCACTTCTATATGGCATGAAAGCACTAAAGCCAACAATTTCCCAGAACTACTATCAAGAAGACTCTGAGGTGCTAGGGACAGCTGAAACACATCAAGCCTGTAAAATGTGTGTGGTGTGACCCAGCTAGCTGCAGCACAAATATCCTGGACAGACACTCTTCGAAACAGGGCMCAAGATGTAGCAATGCTCCTGGTGGAATGGGCTTTCAGACCTACCAGAGGCTATGCACCTTTACGTGGTCTCCACAATCCAATGTGTCAGCCTCTGGCATGACACTGGTTTGTCCTTGTGAGCTGTGTCTCGTGAAACGAACAGCTGGTCTGACATCCTGAAAGCAGCTGTCCATCCAACACACGTTTTCAGTGTCCGCACAGGGCACAGAGGTAAGAATTTGCTCCTCCTCCGTGGAGAATGGAGTTGAGAGGAAAGCTAACAGCTTCACTGAACCACATCTGTACACAGYACTAATCCCCCTAGGCACAAAATCCAGATTTGGTCTCAGACACACCTCAGAGAGCTCAGGTGCCTACTTTAATCAGAGAAGATTGACAGATAAAGCAWGTAGTTCATTCATGTTATGGTTAATGCTGTGATTAAAGCTAAAAGCCAGGCAGTCTTCACATAAAGAAATGTCATCCCTGCTCCCTTCACAGTTTCAAGGGGATGATGAGAGGGGCTTCCAGCACCAATGAGAAGCCCTACAATGGTACCAGAGGTCGGCGAAACTGGTAGCTTACACCGTGCCCCCTTCATGAAGCAACACACTAGTGGATGCTGTCAAACAGATTTGTCACCAAATCCAATGTTGAAATTGTTGCCAGATAGACTTTGATAGTGGAAAAACCTTTCCCTTTTTCCAGCAGGCTCTGTAGGAAACAGAACATCCACAAGAGCACTGAAAAGGAATGACGTGCCTCTCTCCACACCATTTTCCCAAATCTTGCCACTTACCACAATAAAGATAGCGAGTAGTGGAGGCCACTCCCCACACAGTGGGTTACCCCTAGACAGAATATCTGCTCCTTTGCTCAGGATCCTTGGGTTGACCAAGAGACGTCTGGTGCTGCTCCACTGTATTAACTCAGTTTGTRAAGCTGCAGGGATTGTGTTCCACCCTGATGGTTGATGTAGTGTTGTCTGCCTTCACTAAGACATGACGGTCCTTTAGATGTGCCAGAAAGTGATTTCAAGCCAAGAAAACTGCTTGAAGTTCCAGCACATTTATATGAGGGTGTGACATTTTGACCACACACTGTTCACTACTCTGCCCATCATGGTTGTCCCCCATCCAGTCACGGATGCATCTGTTWTCATGGTGACTCAGAATGATACTGCCCCCAGCTGTGCCCCAGTGGTGAAAACCGCTGGGTCCCTCCATGGCTGGAGAGCTGCCATACGTGTCAAGGAAACTTTTACTCTGTGGTGTAAATGGTGGCGGGAGCATAGTTTTAATGATGTGACCCATTGTTGGAAATCCCTCTGCAACAGAAGCCCCAGTTTCACTACAGTAATTACTCTCTGAGGAGGCTGAGAAAAAATCTGAATGAAATGAGTTTCCTCAGCTGTAGAAGTGTGATGCACAGGGAGAAGGAAGTGATCCTCYTCTGACGGCGTGACTTGGTATGAGAAAGTGTTTATTTTGAGACCCAGATATTGTGTACATTGTTTGGGTACCAAACTGTTTTTTTTTTGGGTCCAGTTTATTCTGAATTCCAGGTCAGTTAAATGTTTTATCATGGCTTGGGAATCACTGATCAACTGCTCCTGCATATATGTCCCCTCAGCGGGGATAATGCAGCTTCCACACACTTGCTGAAAACCTGCAGTGTTAATGAAAGCCCGAATGGGGTGAATTGAAACTCATAGACTGTGCACTGATAAGCACCTGAGAAATTTCCTGTGTGGCAGRTAAATGACGATGTGAAAGTAAGCATCTCGCAGATTGATTGTTATGAACCAATCTTGTGGACAGATGCAGTGACAAAGTGTCTTGTGTTTTAGTAAAGGAGATTTTGTCTGATTAACTGAATTTTGGATACGGTCATATTTTACACCTTGCAATCATTTGTAGTCATTCACTTTAAACAGGAAGTAAATCAGTATGTTTCTACTCAGTGCATCCCTCTGCAGTATAAACAATAATTGTTGACATTCCAAGGTCTGATGTAAAAGGTACCACTGCCTGGGGTGTGGTCAGGGTATTTGGGTTTTGTGAAGCAAGCGTAAGTTTGTAGTCTTTGGGAAGTCTTTAGCAGAAGCAGACGCAGGTCTGTAGAGAGGRCCAATCTTTTGGTTCTGATAATACTCAGGGCCATACACACAGGTGCTGAGAGGCAGTGGTACTGAGCAATGAAATGGAGTTTTGAAATCTACTCTTTCTTTGGAATCCAAAAATAGTGAGACTAAATGCCCTGATGAACTTCTTTGTTTGGTATAACCTGAGGAATTGTGGTCACCAGTGCTGTGGTGCGGAAGTCTCCATACTGCGGTCTGGAGTCTCCCGTAAAACTAAGGCTGTGGCGCAGGAGTCTCCAGGCTGCTAGTCACAGTCTTGACTGCTCCTTGGTTTGTCTTTGCCGACTCCAGGAATCGGSGAAGGACGTACACTGGCCTCCCTGGCACTAAGGCGCCTGACTTCGTTCGGATGCTCCAGTCTTTCCCTACCARGCCCTGGGGGTGTCCACACTGTGCACAGCCAGATCAGTTGATGACGTCACTCCACAATGTGCAACCACCCCAGGGGATGGCAACAGACTGATGCCAGAAGAGGCAAATGTGCATCTGTCACCACTTCCCCAGGCAGGAGTTGTGGAAAGGAAAAGGTGGTCCGTGCTGCTGCAGCACCCAGAGCAGCACAGACAGYACAGGGRGAAAGGTGAGCATTGTCGCTGTTTTCCCAGGCGGAGAGGGAAAGGCAAAGCGGCTCGCCTTCTTGGTAATCAATACCGGCAGCGCATTCAAYAATAATTTRTGCTTAATGACAAATCGTGTYCRTACCGAACAGYAACACTAAACACAAAACACATCACTTACCACCATCATCTGCAGATTTGTGAAGAAYAATAGGGACAGAAGTTCCCTTTAGCTGAAATTCCTTGGGTAAATCCTGCTGTGGGCTGGTACTAGTTTCCAAATTAGTCCATCATGAAATTATTTACAGAAACTACAACTTTCTTTGGTGATATTGCTAGAACATTGCCATCCGAAATAAAAATAAAAATTTAATAAAAATAAAATTAGGCCAGGGATCTCTGTTCTCCATGACTGTTGTAAAAACAGAAGAACGTGGTCATCCTGTGAAGGAGTGGGCCGAGTCTCCACTTGGGTTACCRGGTGAAGAGCTGGGCTCATCTTGGCATTGCTAGGTCCCCGGGATTGTGACATCACAATCCCTRTGTTTTTAAAACCACTTGTTTGCTGACACTAAAAAAAGTCATATATACATTGTTAAAAAGCAACTGAGAGCATATTTTTTGACGCTTGGACTGTTTCTGGAAGCAGTACAGACCCAAATTGATGCATGAAAACATGTAGAAAAGTGAATTTTGCATAATAGGTCCCCTTTAAACACAGCATTCTTGGTTACTGTAACACCTGTTCACAATATCACTGATGAAAGTTCTGCACAGTTAATCACTACTAAACACAAGCATGTTACAGGACTTGTCCTTTTCTGGTACCTGTGCCAACAGTGCTGTAAACATCTGAACTTAACTCCCTCCCACTGTCGAACACAGAGTCACAGGTGATGCTGGGAACTTCTGGAGAAGCTGGACTGTTGTCCTTGTCAATACTCTTCATCTTCCTCCTCATCTTCACCTGTATAATAAAAAGCAAACATAACAGTACAAAAATAAGTGCTTGTTTGACATTTGAATGACACCACAGAAGAGAACTAAGTCTTTTGTCACAAATCTACAGTTTAGTCTCATTATTTCTGCTAAACTGAAATCTTTGTTMAGATAGCAAAACACTTTCCATGAAGTGACATTTGAAAATGCTTGAGGTTTTCCAGGTGGTGCAAATGGTCTCAGGTRTGCCATAGCAATATGACCAGTGACAGATAAAAAAATGTAGTTGCACATTTTACTGTACAATGTTCTGCTGGAAGCAACACAACATGTATCTTAGTGTTCACATTTTAAGACCAATTATATACTTTTTATTGCACCATGACTCCACTGCAAAAGGCAAGCCCCACTCCCCCCTTTTCCCCCTGCCATAAAACAGCAATGAGCCTCAAAAAAAGGAAAAAAAAAAACTAATGGCTCAAACCGATGGGAACTAATAGAAACTGTGGGAATCAACCAACCCACAAATCTCTATCCAACAACCCACTAGTCTAAATACAGCTACTGCTGTCATTCTGGTGAATGTCACTTGAGGACAACAGATTTTTATTTATTTCTTTATTTTTTGTCCACACCTTAACAAGTCAAAGCAGTGTGAAAAAAAGTGGGGAGGGGGGAAGCTTTATGTTCTAGTTGATTTGTATAATTCCAGGTGCTTGACAACCTTGTGAGTKGGAACACAACACTTTGTTGAAAATTAAGAAACTAACTGTCAAAAGATGCAGTTAAATATATCAATCACAAAGTCTCCCAGTTTTGTAACCAATGAAAGCATGAAAATCTAATAATGATGCTCTAAAAGCCTGAGTATCTGCCACAGTGCGGGGGATGCATGATCCCTATTTCGTTGTTCCTGTGCTTTTGTATCCAACATACTTTTATGACAATATAAAGCTGTGGCAAAACCTGGCTGGAAAACCATCAAAAAAGCAAAACAACAACAACAAAACAAATATTTGAGTAGCTTCATTGCAGGTTGGGTATGAAACTCAAAAAAGCAAAACAACAACAACAAAACAAATATTTAAGTAGCTTCATTGCAGGTTGGGTATGAAACTCAAAAAAGCAAAAAAAAAATCATTTCACAGTATTTGAT